GAGAGAGAGAGAGAGAGAGAGAGAGAGAGAGAGAGAGAGAGAGAGAGAGAGAGAGAGAGAGAGAGAGATTTCCAAAGCGTGTGGGGAGAAGTAGGGGTGTTGGAGTTCACTGAAGGCTGTGAGCGCCTGGCCCAGGAAAAAAAAAAGAAAAAAGAGAAGGTGCAGTAGATGGAGTGGAACAAGACATCTTTGCTTCGAAATTGGCATCTGTTCTCTCTTGTGTATGCAGGAAACAAATCATCAAGAGTCGCGCTGCACGTGAAAAAGCACTTGCAGTGGTGGAAGTGAGCGACAGGAGCTTGCACATTGAGGAACCAGAATTGGCACAGAGAGAGAAAAAGGAAGAAAGACGAAGAAGGCAGAGGGCTCAGTACCGACAGGGATGGGACTAAGAGGAAGAAAAAGGCAGGAAAAGGAGAAAGAGGAGGAGGTTGAGGAGGGAAGGGGAGGGGGGGGGATGAGGAGGAGGCGTTGGACAGCTGACGACCTATGCACGAATGTAGGACCTCACCCTTTGCAGAGGGACAAGTACCTGCATGTATCAGGACAAAGAGAAAGACTACGTTCAAGACAAAGAGAAAGAAAGAGAGGAAGAGGAGAAAGAGGAGGCGGAGGAGGAGCAAGATGAGGAAAAGGAGCAAGAGGGAGAATATGTTCAGGACAAAGAGAAAGAAAGAGAGGAAAGGGAGGCGGAGGAGATGGAGGAGGGGCAAGAGGAGGAGGAGGAGCAAGAGGGGGAGCAGGAGCAAGAGGGGGAGGAGGAGCAAGGGAGGGGGAGGAGGAGGAGGTTGAGGCGTTGGATAGGTGCAAAGTCCTATGCATGAAATTCAATGTAAGGCCTCACCCTTTGTCATCTCAAGGATCTCCATGGCTAGGCTGTAGATGTACGAAGTCTTCTCATTCCCAAGAGTAGCCTCCTTTGCAAATCTGAAAAGACAAGGAGGAGCAAAATGTCAAAAGGAATAAAAACAGAGACAGAGGGAGAAACTTTATTCACTCTGTTGATAACTTTTGTTTACTCTGTCATCTGGTCGCATGTGCGGTGGCACGGATTCATTTCACCCGTTACGCATATTAGTAGTTACTAGTAAGTTAGTAACAATAATCCATAG